AAAGCCTTCCACAACAGGGCTGCACGCAATAGAAAAAAAAGCAATCGAAAAAATTTTTTTAAATCTGCACCTGCAACTCACAATTTCTTTTTAAAAATCCGCACCCGCAATCCGCAACTCGCAATCCGCAATTTTTAAAAATGGAGATAAAGGAATTTATAACCTTCCGAGGTTTTCTGGTAATAAGCTATGATCATCCGCTACGATAAGGCGGGTTTAAGGGATATCAGTGTTTTAAGGAAGGATCTTACTTTTGAGGGAATAAGGAAAGGATTGAGGGATATTAGGGGATTTGGAGGATTAGGTGAAAGCACCTTCGAAGCTTCCCCAACTCTAGTTAACTCGAATTTGATTTTTATTATTTATAACAGAATTATTATAATTAAATCCATAATATCGAATTGAAAATTTAAAAAATTAAAGGATTATCAAGTTTCATCTTAATTTAAAATTTAATACATTTAAAAGAGAATTTAATTAGAAATATTTAATACTAATTTATTATTTAATGAGAAAACATTTCTTAATAAATGACAGACAGTTCGCGAAATTCAAAAAATATTAAAGTTTTAAATTTTGAAATAATATTAAATGAAAGGAAAGTGCGACGATATTTTTGGGTCACAAAATCAACTCTTAATTAACCCAAATAGATCTAACAAAAGGATAGCTCTAAGAATTAAGATAAAATATTTAGGTTTAATAAAAATGCATTCAAATATTCAGAATATTAGAAGAACCCCACTAAATAAAGATTTAATTTTAAAAATATGTTTTTATGTTTCCGAATTTAAAAACTGTTAATTAATAGAAATATTTATCGTCAAAAATTCAAATATCATCCATAAAGCTCAAATCATCCAAAAAGTTCTCATCAGCCACCTTTCTTATATCATCATCTATTTGTTGAATAAGTTGTTCAGCTTCCACACAATTAACAATTCCTTGTTCTAACTGAACGTTCTCTTTGATCGGTTCTTTTCCTTTATTATAACGAGAAGTGTTCTTTGAAGTATCTAATGAAGTTCCTTCCCCATTATCAGCTTGAACATTTGTTAAATTAGAACAATCATTTTGCTGAATTTCATTTTCCTTTTTTTGTTTGTATCGACGTACGTTTTCAAGCACTTTATCTCTATTATTTTTGTAGTATTTTCGTTTACGTTCTCGGATCTTTTCTTTGTTGATTTTCTCGTAATTTTTTAAATATTCTTTATTATTTTTATAATTATTTCGCCTATTTTCATTTATCTTTTCTTTATTTTTTTGATAGTAATTTTTATTCCTTTCTTTGAAACTTTCTTTATTTTTCCCATAATAAGTTTTATTATATCTGGCCAGTTTTATTTTGTCCTTTTTTGTATCTTTAAATTTTGATTTTAACGTTCCTCTACATTTTTGGTTTGGATGATGGGTCGATGATCCAGCCACATTCTCTTCATCTCTAGTTAACTCATTTTTATTTTTATTATTTTTAACAGAATTAATTAAACTCCATAATATCGAATTGAAAATTAAAAAGAATAAAACATTATCAAGTTTCATAATAATTTAATATTATTAATTAATCTAAAATAATAATTTAATTTAAAATTAAATTTATTTAAGAGATTTTAATTATAATATGTAATACTACTTTATTATTTAATGAGAAAACATTTCTTAGTAAATGGCAGACAGTTCGCGAAAGTTCAAAGTTTTAAATTTTGAAATAATATTAAATGAAAGGAAAGTGCATATATCCGACTACATCTTTGAGACACAAAATCAACTCTTAATTAATCTAAATAGATCTAACAAAAGAACTAGGGACATCCGGTACCAACTCAGATAAACTAATTAACCCCAGACAATTTACGAAATTTTAAAGTGCAAAATGCCTTTTTACTTTAAAAAATGCATTTAATTTGGTAATATTTCTGATGAGACAATGTCTAAGCGCAATTCTCCAGAATTTTTTCCTTTAAATTTTGCAGCAATTACTACAAACAATGAAAAACGCAGCAAAATTGTAGAAGAAATTAATTCTTTAAATTTTGACAAAATCTTAACTTAAATTAAATTGAATGGACTTTCTTACAGATTTTTGATTTATGTTAAAACACCCTAATTAAGTAAAATTGAATTTTTTAAGTGCCACACTACGACATTGTTGTCGAAGTAAGTGGCACGCCCTTTCGATGACATTTTTTTATATTGATAAATAAATCTTAAAACAGAAATCAGCACAAATTATGTACTATGGGGAAGTTATTCCACAAGCGAGGGATGTTAATTTGTCGTCTAATGACGAAATATTTTTAATTAATCCCAGACAATTTAGGAAATTTTAAAGTACAAAATGACTTCATTAAAAAAATTTTCTTGAGAAAGAAAGTACATAAAAACATGTCTGTATTTTTTAGTAGTTAGCAGAGGTCGGTCGGAATTCTAATTTCCGAAAGTTTGGAAAAATTTCCGATTTCCGATAATTTTTAAAATGTATTCCCAACTAGAGATTTTTCCGAACTTATCAAAAATTTGAGTCGTTAGTGGAGGTAAAGTTTAATAACATAAGAAAAACTTGGTTTTATAATCTCGATTTTTTTGAATTTATTAGACTTCAGAATAACAGAAAAATACATATTTGATTAAAATTTAAAATATCAACAGAAAAAGGGATTAAATGTTTTATTTCTTAAATTAAAAGATTCTCTTCGTTCGTTTGTTCTTTTATAAAATTTCTCAAAAGAAATTCTGGTTATCCAAAAAATTTAGATCATACAAGAAATTTAGATAATCAACATCATTTATATTATCCATATTTTTAATTAGATGTTCCTCACCAACATGATTACTATTTCCTTGGTCTAACTGAGCATTCTCGATGCAAACAATCGGCTTATCTCCTTTATTTTCACAGTCGCCATTCTTTTGATTAAAAAGTAGTTCCTTATTATCAGTTTGAATGTTCCCTAATTTTGAATTTTTTGAACAGTCATCCATCTGTGAATTATCAAATAAATTTCCCTCCTCATTATGAGAGGATTGAGTTGGAGTAGCATTTTGAAGATGAATGTTTGCTTGATCTAACTGAACCTTTTCTATACTTACAATCGGTACTTTTCCTTTGTTTTCACAAATATTATTCTGTTGATTAACAAAAGAAGTTCCTTCATCTCTATCGTCTTTAACGTTTCTTGATTTTGAACTATCATTTTTTAAAATTTCTTTTTTATTTTTTCTTTTTAGATAGTATTTTCGATTATATTCTCGTTTCTTTTCTTTGTTAATTTTCTGGTAATTTTTAGAATAATTCCGACCATATTCTTTTAACTTTTCTTTATTTTTCTGATAGTAATTTTTCTGTATTTCATTCAGCCTTTCCTTATTCTTCTTGTAGTAATTTTTATTTTGTTCTTTCAACTTTAAATTTTTGTCATCTTTAATATTTTTTGTTGTGCCCTCCTTATATGTTTCACTTTTAGAAGCAACCGATGATTCAGCCCCGTTATTTAATATTTTATCTAAATCGGTTGAAGCTTCCCCAACTCCTTTTAACTCGTTTTGAGTTTTATTATATTTAACAGAATTAATTAAACTCCACAATATCGAATTAAAAATTATAAAGATTAAAATATTAATAAGTTTCATCTAACTTATTAAAATTTTATTTAAAATTATTTAAAAATTTTATTTAAAAATAAGAAACACTAATTAAATAAATTTTATTACATAATGACTAAACATTTGTTAATAAATCCCAGACCATTTACGAAACATTAAATTGTTTTTTTAAAAGAATATTCTTTGAAAAGAAAGTGCATACGACCTTTGAGTAGTAAGTTCACAGGGAGCGTCGTGGCAGCCATTTTTTCGCGCACTTTCTCAAGCCTTTTGATGGTTTTGGCGATAATTTTCAAAGGAAAACCCGTGCCTAAAGGAGGGTTTTAAGTAAAATCCCGAGGGTTTGAGCTGTAAATTAATAAAGTGGCTGCCACGACGTTTCTTTTCCTGTCATTCACGTTGATGGGTAGTTGCGATAAAAGTGACTGATGGAGAGGCTTAAACAGGTGAATGCCCACGACACTAAAATCCCAATCCTATTGGAAGAGTTTGGCGGTAAACTAATTAACGGTATGACCACGACAGATCATTTCCCTTCTCAGAGACAATTACCCATGAGTCGAGGTTGTAAAGTGGGTGTAGGAGATTCATAAAGACAAGCCCCACGACATTGACAAGCCCCACGACATAAAGACAAGCCCCACGACGTTGTAGTTCCTTTCCTTTTCTCTCACCTATAGAGTAAACGGGTAGTGGCGGTATAAAGAGAAATTATTTTAATTAAATTATTTTGAAACGATAACTATCTTTTTCTTTTGTTTTTATAAAATTTTATGCACTTCCTGTACATATGTACATATGTTTTTACAAGTTACACCAAAGAAAATTTGAAACAATTTTATGAGTTAATAAATATGTAAATTAAAATAACTACAACTTTAAATTAGACGGTAATGATTGGGATTTGTAACGTACCGTATTACCGACTGTAATACCGAAAAATGCGGCTTTAGTACGATACGATCCGATAACTATTGGACAAGAACCAGAATATTTAGAATTATTAATAAAAGAAATATTTAATTAATTTTATTATCATAAGAAATTCAAATATCATCCATAAAGCTCAAATCATCCAAAAAGTTCTCATCAGCCACCTTATTTATATCATCATCTATTTGTTGAATAAGATGTTCAACTTCCACACAATTAACAATTCCTTGTTCTAACTGAACGTTCTCTTTGGAAACAATCGGTCTTTTCCTTTAGTTTCACAGAGGTCATTCTGTTGATTAATAAGTGATTCCTTATTAACAGTTTGAATGCTCCCTAATTTTGAACGTTGTACACAGTCATTCATCTGTGAATTAACAAATAAATTTCCCTCCTCATTATGAGAGGATTGAGTTGGAGTAGCATTTTTAAGATGAAGTTTTGCTTGATCTAACTGAACATTCTCAATGCTTACAATCGGTCCTTTTCCTCTGTTTTCACAAATATTATTCTGTTGATTAACAAAAGGAGTTTCTTCATCTTTATCGTTTTGAACGTTTCTAAATTTTGAACGATCAGTTTGTAAAATTTCCTTTCCATCTATTTTTTTCTGTTTGTATTTCTGACGCTGCTTCTCAAGCAGTTTATCTTTATTGGTTTCGTAGTATTTTTGTCTATGTTCTCGGATCTTTTCTTTGTTAATTTTTCGGTAATTTACATAATATTCTTTATTATTTTTGTAATGATTTTGCCTAGCTTCATTTATCTTTTCTTTATTTTTCTGGTAGTAGTTTTTATTTGCTTCTTTCAACCTTTCTTTATTATTCTCATAATAAGTTTTACCAAGCTTTAATTTGTCTTTTTTAGTAATTTTATTTCTCAGTTTAAACTATTTAACGTCGAGTACGAGTTCAACTTTTTATGCCGAGTTTGAGTACTTTTACTAAAAATATTCATCATAAGCGCTGGGTATTGTGCATTTGCTGGCACTGATGCAATGAATTTTCATTCAAATTTTAGTTATTTTCGTTAATCACCTACCTATATCCCTCTTAATCCGCCGAAATTCCATGATATCGGCCACTATCCATGTTGGCTCCGGGCTCCGGTTGGGAATCAATGAATAATATTATTTCGGGGGATTTGTGTAGATTAAAGGGATAACGAGTGATAACAGGAGAATGAGATAGATATCAAAGGATCAAGCGGGATTTGATTTGATTATCGTTGGATTCGGTGTATAGATCCCTTAAAATATCTGGATATCAATAAATCTACCTAACTCTATTCAAATCCACCCATACATTTAAGTTTTGAGAAATTTGGAAGGTCTAGAAGCCCGAGTAAAGGCGAAAAAACTCAATTGATATGGTCGAGTAACTCGAACTCGCTTGACTCGGACATACTCTAGTTTTACCGTTTCTTTATATTTCTGATGATGGGTCGATGATCCAGCCACATCCTCTTCAACTCTAGTTAACTCTTTTTGATTTTTGTTATTTTTAACAGAATTAATTAAACTCCATAATATCGAATTGAAAATTAAAATAATTAAAACGTTAATAAATTTCATTCTAAATTAAGTTAAAAATTATTTTAATAAATAAATTTATTAATTAACACTAAATAATACTGATAATTTAAAGAGAATATAGTAAAAAACAACCAGGGTTATTGACAAATACATATGTCTACTAATTGTACTTTTCCAAGATTAGGTTTACATATGTAAAAGGGCAATATTGCTAAATATCGTCAAAAAAACTTATTTATTATTTATTATGAAATCTCAAAGGACATTTTCAAAGGATATTTTTAAAATTAAAAACTTAAAATTTATCTTTGTCAAATGCGACTCTGAAGTAGGTGTATTTAATCCTGAGAAATTTTCGCATCCGAAATTTATGGATATCAGGATCAGATATCCGTGCTTCTGTCTTTAACTTGTTTTGATTTTTATTATTTTTAACAGAATTAATTAAGCTAATTAATATCGAATTGAAAATTAAAAAGATTAAAAAACTAATAAGTTTCTTCCTACATAAATTTAATATTTTTACAAATTTTTAAAAAATTAATTTCAAGAATTAAACTAAAATAGGTAATAAATTTAACTTTATTTAAAAGAAAATTTAATTAGAAATATTTAATACAAGTAAATTATTATTTAATGACGAATTATTTTTAATTAATCCCAGACAATTTAAGAAATTTTAAAGTGCAAAATGCCCTTTTATTTTTAAAAAATTTTCCTTGAGAAAGTAAAGTGCTTTACGATGTGTTTTAAATTTCGACGCAGCTCTGGTAGCTAGTAAAAAAACGCTCTTCTTGGTGAAGGCAGAAAGGTCCGTTTAATTAATTTTTAATCTATGTGGTATGTATTTTGTCTACATTGGTAACCTCCAAACATAGCTTTTACTAGATTTTTTTTAAATTATGAAAATCAAGGGCAGAAAAATTATTAAATTAAATTATTTTGAAACAATAACTAGATGTTTCTTTTTTTATAAAATCTAATATACTTTTTTTACATACAAGTTTCTCAAGTTTCAACAAAGAAAATTTAAGAACAATTTTATAATTTAATAAATTTGTAAATTAAAATACAAAAAATTAGACAATATGTAGTGATCACAAACATATAAAAAAGATTTTCATAAAGATATCTAAAAAAATAAAAAAGATGTATTGCACAAGAACGGAAAAACTATTTTAACTGTTTACATATTTAAAAAACAGATCATTTGTTTGTTGATTTGAAAATTTTTATTATCATGAGAAATTCAAATATCATCCAAAAAACTCAAATCATCCAAAAAGTTCTCCTCACCCAGCTTATTTATATCATCATCTAATTGTTGCATAAGATGTTCAACTTCCACACAATTAACAATTCCTTGTCCTAACTGAACGTTCTCTTTGATCGGTTCCTTTCCTTTATTTTCACAATTATTATTCTGTTGATTAAAAAAAGAAGTTCCTTCATCGTCTTGAACTTTTCTAGATTTTAAACTATCATTTTTCAGAATTTCTTTTTCATTTTTCCTTTTTAGATATTGTTTTTGTTTATTTGCACGCCTTTTTTCTTTATTAGCTTCATCATATTTCCTTTTATATTCTCGTTTCTTTTCTTTGTTAATTTTCTGGTAATTTTTAGAATAATTTCGACTATATTCTTTTATCTTGTCTTTATTTTTCTGATAGTACCTTTTCTTTTTTTCCTTCAGCCATTCCTTATTCTTCGTGTAGTAATTTTTATTTATTTCTTTCCGCTTTAAATTTCTGTCATCTTTAATATTTAATGTTTCTTTATAATTTTCACTTTGATGAACAACCGATGATTCAACGCCATCATTTAATATTTTATTTAAATCCTTCGAAGCTTCACCAACTCCCTTCAACTCTGTTTGATTTTTATTATTTTTAACAGAATTAATTAAACTCCATAATATCGAATTGAAAATTAAAAAGAATAAAACATTATCAAGTTTCATCTTAATTTAATATTATTAATTAATCTAAAATAATAATTTAATTTAAAATTTAATTATTTAAGAGAGAATTTAATTAGAAATATGTAAGTAATACTACTTTATTATTTAATGAGAAAACATTTCTTAATAAATGACAGACAGACCGCGAAATTTTAAAGTTTTAAATTTTGAAATAATATTAAATGAAAGGAAAGTGCTTATATCCGTCTATATCTTTGAGACACAAAATCAACTTTTAATTAATCTAAATAGATTTAACAAAAGGATCAGGGATATCCGGTACCAAGTCTGAGCTCTAGGGGTTATGATAAAAGAATATTTTTATTTAAAAAAATTAAAATATTCAGAATCTTAAAATAACTCCTCTAAGTATGTACTTTAATTATTTTATTTAAATACTTTAAGTTTCTCAACTCTAGTTAGCTCGTTCTGATTTTTATTGTTTTTAAAAGAATTAATTAAACTCCATAATTTCGAATTGAAAATTAAAAAGTATCAAAATAATGAGGGGTTTGATCCTGAATGTTTCTAAACTTTATTATAAACTAAAGATTTAGCTTCAAGTTAATTCATTCATATCATAAAATTCTGGGAAAATATATTCGCATATGAATACTTATTATTACATGATAGACAGATTATAAAATAGCTAAGATAAGTAAATTTCATAAAGGGCATAGCAATAAATATTGTGAAACAATTTAGCCGAGTTTAGGACATGCGTCCCAGCAGCTTTTTTGAGCTTTTTCCCATGAGCTTTTTCTAAATTAATTCAAAAATTAAAAAAAGTAAATTTTTGAGATTGATCTCATTATCTTTAATACGAAAAAAGTTGGGATGTAATGAAGTGTTGAATAAAATTCTGGTCACTCACTCTGTAACTGTTTATATTTTTGAGACTAACTGTTTTACATGTTATAGAGGTAAATAAGGCTATAAATGACAAAGGCTATAATTTACTACAATCCTTCTTCTTTCGACATTTTTATTTAAAAATTTCTTTCTTGATTAATTATTATAATAGACAAAAAATAAAATAATCATTGTTTATGCACTTTAATTTCAATGAAAATTTATTTATTTCCTTTTTAATTACATATCTTTAAAAACAACGTGTGTCTGAGAAATTAATTATGGTATTTCACAATTTTACAAATAATGATAAAATAAAATAAAGAAAGAAAAAATTATTTAAATAAAAAGTAGACAGAGTAAGGATTTCATTAGATTTCATTAGCCTTATTAACCTTTATAACGCTGAAAAATTTAATATTACATTAAAATTAAATTTTTTAATTCTTAAAATTATTTCAGAATGAAACTTATTAAAGTTTTAACTCTTTTAATTTTCAATTCGATATTATGGAGTTTAATTAATTCTGTTAAAGATAATAATCTAAACGATGTAAAAAGAGTTGAGGAAACCTCAAAAGATATAACTAAAATATTGAATGATGGGGCTGAATCGCGGTCAATCTTCAAAGTCAATCTTCAAGTTTACGAGAAAAAAAGAAAAACTATTACCTGAATAATAAAGAAAAGCTGAAAGAAAAAACTAGAAAATATTATGCGATTAATAAAAATAAGATAAATGAGAAAGCAAAAAATTATTATTTAAATAATAAAGAAAAATACAAAAATTATAAACAAAGTATTATCAAATTAATAAAGAAAAGATTAAAAAGGATAATAAAGAATACCATCTAAAAAAGAAAAATGAAAAAAAATTTACAAAATTCTGATTCGAAATTAAAAAGCATTCAATCTGCCAAAAATATTGGAACGCGGAATAGTGATTGTGAAAATAAAGGAAAAGTACCGATTGTTTAGAAAGAGAATGATCTGCTAAACGAAGGAATAACAACAAGAAAAAAATATTTAAATTCAATCTTCTCATAAAGGGGAAGGAACATCAGTTGTTAATCCAATTACAGATGATAATTTAACAGAAACAATTGTTTGCCCTACTGGACAAGAAAAGGCACAATTACCTATTCAACGAGCGAATGAATTGAATGATGTAGAATATCTTAATTTTTTGAATTATTTAAATTTTTTGGATAATCAGAATTTCTTATTTTGATATTCTGTACATTTTCAAATAATTATTTTATTTATGTAAATCATTTTTATTTCTTTAAATCGTTTAATGGACTCTTAAATGTCCAATCTAATTTAAAACTTCAAATCTGATTATTAAATAATTTTATTACATTTAAAATTAGCTCTTGACTACATTATTTCGCCTCGACTACAAATTGTCAGCTGCTTTAAACATCTCGTTAGGACAAACAAATAACGAAGGATCTAATTTACAGTTCACAATTAATGAGCTTCTGGAAGCAGAATTGATATTATTCTAATAATCGAAAATTTATTTCGTTATGTTTTTAAACATGATCGAAAATTTATCGAAAAGTGTTAAACATAAAAACAATTAATTAAAAAAATATGTAGAGAAAGGAGAATATGTAGAAAAAATAAGATATAGTTCGATGACTTAAATTTTTATAGGAGAGAAAGCAAAGATGATTTCTGTTTATTTAAAATTTAAATCATTCTTTTGCTTATTTGAAATTTCAAGAATATAGATTATTCAAAAAATCTGGGTCATCCAAAAAACTTAGATCAGACACATCATTATTGTCTTCAATCTGTCGAATAAAATTTGCATTTGCTGTTTGAACATTATCCTCTCCACCATTCTCTTGTGTTGGGTTTTGTATATTATTTAGTACATAATCATTCATCTGTGGATTAACAAATGAATTTTCTTGTGTATTATCATGCCCTCCCTTATTATTTAGCTGAACATTCTCGTTACTTTCAATTGTTGATTTACCTTTATTTATATAATTATCATTATGTAGATTTTCTTTTTCATTTTTTCTTTTTAAATTATATTTTCTTTTATATTCTCTTTTCTTTTCCTTATTCTTTTGATAGTAATTTTTATAATATTCCTTTTTTGCTAACTTTATTTTGTCTTCATTATTTACCGTAGTGTCCTTACTAATTAAATCATCGCTTTGTTGAGTAACATCATCATTTCCTTCCTTATTACTTACCTGAATATTCTCGTTACATTCAATTGGCGATTTGCCTTTATTGATATAATTATCATTCTGTGAATTTTCTTTTTTATTTTTTCTTTTTAAATGATATTTTCTATCATATTCTTTTCTCTTTTCTTTATTCTTTTGATTATAATTTTTATTATATTCTTTTTTCGCTAACTTTTTTTCGTCTTCATTATTTCTCGTAGTATTCTTTCTAGTAAAATCATCGTTTTGTGAACTAACAAAAGAAGTTCCTTCATTATTATCAGGTTGAATGTTTCCAATTTTTGACATACCCTTTTGCAGGATTTCTCGTTCCTTTTTCTTTTTTAGATAGTATTTTCGTTGACAATCGCGACGCTTTTCTTTATTATTTTGTCTGTACTCTCGGCTACTTTGAACCACTCTATCTCTATTCTTTTGATAGTAATCTTTATTATATTGTAGAGTCTTTTCTTTATTATTTTTGAGATAATTTTGTTTATAATCTTGTTTCTCTTTTTTGTGTTGCTGGTAGTAATCCTTCATATATTCACTTTTCTTTAACCTAGTTTCTTCTTCTTTATTTTCAGTTTTGTGCTTTTTTGTAATTTTGTTATTTGGTTTCAGAGTTTCTCTATATTTTTCGATTTGATGAGCAACCGATGATTCCGCCCCATCATTTAATATTTTATTTAAATCCTTTGAAGTTTCCTCAACTCTAGCTAACTCGTTTTGATTTTTATTGTCTTTAACAGAATTAATTAAACTCCAACATATCGAATTTAAAATTAAAAAGATTAGAACACTATCAAGTTTCATTTTAAATTAATTACTAAAAGATTATTAAATAACTAATTTTATATTAATTAAAAATTGAAGGGAATAAAAAATAAAAATATATTTCACAGTGTAGTAAAGGTCATTACGTAGTAAAGGACATTACTGACATTTTCTCAGACGTTTTTACTACTTTTATAAATGCCTGACAAAACAGATTTCGACACGATATTTGGTAAGAATGCCCTTTTACTCCGCTATGAAATAATTATGTTTGTTTTATTAAAAACCCGATTGACCTTTTAAATTAAAATTATTGCTCTCTGGAAATAACTAAAGTGATTAAAGGCATTGTGAGTTTATGCAATACATAAAATTTGAGGTTGCTTCGGCCGTTATTCGATCGGGAATGTGATAAATTAATTTCCCAAATCAGGAATCGAACTTGGGGGAAAAATCACGTGCAAGAACGTTACCACTGCACCACCGCTGAACACAGTAGTAACTAGATAGAAATTGTTTATATGTGGAGGACCATAAAACGTTTGTGGCTTATAACTCGGTCCCTGGTACACCGCAGCGAAAATGCTTAAATTTTCAATAGAAGTAAGGAAAAAACGATCTATCTGTCTACCAAATTTCATCCCGAAGTCGCACGGACACCTCAAACACCCTCCTTTGTCAATGCAGTGCGATCTTTTGCCAAAAATTTTTCCATGCGCCATCATCTCTGCATCCACGCAAGGTGTGTGCACTTCGAAAATTCCTGATTATTTTTGTTCCTTATTTAATTCTCTATCATATAACATTTATTACATCTCATTATCTTAAATTTGAATAAAGTTATAGCATAAATAATGTGTCCCATTACTTTTGGGTCACCCTGTAGAAATACATAAATTTACTTAAAGAATAAATATAAAGATGTGAATATGAATAAAATTTAATTTATAATAATTTGATAAAGGCATTATTTTAATTAAAGTTAATTTTACACAAAAATATTGTTTGAAATTGAAATATACGATTAACTCAAATAATATTTCATTATTAATTAAACAATTTAATATAAAAAAAGAATGTTAAATAAATACATATAAATGGAGAATGCAATAATTTAATTTTTAAAATTTTGTTTAATTTTAAAAGATATTCAAAATAAGAAATTCTGATTATCCAAAAAATTTAGATAATTCAAAAATTTGAGATATTCTACATCATTCATATCATTCGCTTGTTGAATAGGTAATTGAGCCTTTCCTTGTTCAGAATGACAAACAATTGGTTCGGTTAAATTATCATCCATCCGTGGATTAACAACTGATGTTCCTTCCTCTTTATGAGGAGTATGAGCTGGAATATCCGATACTTGTTGAATATTCCCTCCTTCTACCAGATCATTTTCTGGTTCGGTTAACTTATCATCTGTCCGTGGATTAACTACTGATGTTCCTTCCCCTTTATGAGGAGTTTTAGCTGGAATATCCCTTTCTTGTTGGTTATTCCCTTCGTTTAGCAGATCATTCTCTTTGTAAACAATCGGGATATACTTTAGCCGGTGGCCCACTCAGAAACGGGTCAAAATATATACCATTCGATTCGTCTCGGCGAGCTGAGTCGAATGGTACCATTCTTTTTTTGCGGAAATTCCTACGAGCCGAGATATAGGTACTTAAATATCGAAAAACCATAGGGGGGACCAAGCACTTTTTTGGGGTGAAAAATTCGAATATGCAAATAATAGCTCATTCGAAAGAGCTCGTCGAGCTGAGTCGATTGACACCAAAATCAACGAAATCCGACTTGATTGGACCGAGATATAGACTTCTGAAAACTGTTAATCCAAGAGGGAGATTTTTTAATTAAAAATTTTTTAACCATATTATAGCTCATTTGAAAGAGCTCGACAAGCTGAGTCGAATGACACCAAAATCACCGGGATTAAACAAGTTTAGACAAAGTTACAACACAAAAAACTAGCAACATAAACCTATGGGGCGTCGGCGAGGCGCTTGTGCAAAACTCCGCGCTTCGCGCGGAGTTTTGGGCACGCGCCTCGCGGGGAGTCTACGGGCGCTGGGTCTGGGCTTGTAACATAACCCTATTCCTATCACCCTTGCTCTGGACGTATTTGGGGCCTCTGTAGCAGCAAAAATCTCCACAGATGTCATAGGTAAGGAGCTAAAACAAATGGTCATAACTTTGTCAAATCAAGTCGGATTTCGTTGATTTTGGTGTCAATCGACTCAGCTCAACGAGCTCTTTCGAATGAGCTATTATTTGCGTATTCGAATTTTTACCCCAAAAAAGTGCTTGGTCCCCCCTATGGTTTTTCGATTTTTAAGTACCTATATCTCGGCTCGTAGGAATTTCCGCAAAAAAAGAATGGTACCATTCGACTCAGCTCGCCGAGACGAATCGAATGGTATATATTTTGACCCGTTTCTGAGTGGGCCACCGGCTAAAGTACAGCCAACAATCGGCTCTTTTCCTTTATTTTCGCTATCATTATTCAGTGAATTGACATTTTCTGATTTTGACTCATTTTTTAGTATCTTCGTTTGATTTCCTTTAATTTTTTCTTTTTTAGTTTTGTAGTAATTTTGGTTTCGTTTTCGTAGTTTTTCTTTGTTATTTGCCTGATAATGTTTAGATTTTTCTTTCAACTCCTCTTTGTTCACCTTATAATAATTTTTACTTTTTTCAATTACCTTTTCTTTGTTAATTTTATACCAATTTCTCTTTCTTTCAAGTATACTTTCTTTATTCTTTTGATATGAATTTCTATTATATTCATTCATCTTTAATCTTTTCGCTTCTTTATCTTTATTTATTTCCTTTTTTGTTTCTGACGTTGGTTCTAAAGCTTCATATTTTTCATTTGGAGGATTAGCCGAAGATCCAGCCTCATCAATTAATATATAATTTAAATCCTTTGAAGTTTCTTCAACACCAGATATGTAATTCGTTTAAATATTTATATTTTTTAACAGAATTAATTAAACTCCATAATATCGAATTGAAAATTAAAAAATTTAAAACACTTATAAGTTTCATTCTAAATTAATATAAAAATTAATTAAAAATAATTTTATAAATTAGTTAAAAATATTTTTTATTGAAAAAACAAAATAAAAAAAGTCTCTTTAATTTGAATTAATATTATTTTATTGTTTAAAAATGACTTTAAAGCTTTAACCGAATAATTATCCAATGATAGACAATTATGAAATCATAAAGGACAACTATTAAAAAATTTTTTATATCGTTTAAAATATGGGAAAATAAAATATTCTTTTAAATAAAAGTAAACAAGCACTTTTATCCTCGATTTTTGAAACCTTTCAAATATCTGGCTTGCAGCGCTAATAAAAAAAATAACCTAATCCGCATAATGTTCAATTTTCCTGTCAAGTGGGTTTTTTTTATTTATAAGTTTTTTTTATTATCATTTAACAGCCATCATTTAATATTTTAACTGTGTCCTTTTTTGAAAAAGAAATATTTCGGGTCTTTTGATAACATCACTTTTATAAACTTAAACTCTTTACATATTGACTCCCATTATTACATTTAAACTTGAAGGCATATGAACATTTATTAAGTGAATATCAAAATTACAAAATATAATCTCATATTACGGTCACAAAATTCCAGAGACCAAATTTACGAATGAAAGTTAACTTTAGGAAATAAAATTTGAAATCAGAATATTCTCTTACAAATTATTACTTTTTTTTTATTTTACTTGCTTAATCAAAATACAAAAACATATTTATTGAATATGCACTTTTATTTCAATGAATAATTTAATGCCCTTTGTATTTTCTTAATTTGTCTGCCATTAATTTAAAAAAATATAAATAATTTTTTATAATTAATGGCAGACTATAAATAATAAAGGAATATAAATTTTTAAAAAATTTAGGGTCTATTTCCAGCCTTGAAACTAAAAACGAATTCTGTACGTAAAGCCACGCTTACATAAAAGTCGCTTTGCGATTTGCGACAGAAAAGATGATGGAAAAAGAGGAGACAAGAATACCCGCGATTATGTCTCTTTATTTTGGATGTTATTTTCTGTCGCAAATCGCAAAGCGACTTTTATGTTAACGTGGCATAAACAAAATTCATATCCCAGTTCTAAAAAAATTTTGGTACTACTGAAGATAAGGGTGCTATTTCTGCGGACTTATTTTGCTGACTTTTCCTTTCTTTCTTTTTTAATGTTTTGGTTGTTTTGCTTGTAGCGAGTTTTGCTTGTAGCAACTAACTGTCAAAGGATTAATTTTTATGCCAATTTGAAAAATATGTGTTCACCATTAATTTGAACATCATAAACGATGATGAATGAATTTCAACTATGGATCACTGATCTCGGAATGCTTCATAGAAAAAGAATATGTGATTGTGGATCAAAATACGGGTAATTTCAAACCTTGTCCCCCCCCCCCTCCATTATTTTTATTACCTAAGATTGTACAAAATGGTCAGATTTCCTTCTTCCTCTCTTTCCTCTATTTGAGCTTGGCATATTCAAACCAGAAACATTGTTAAAGAGAATAATAAAATTAATTGAGTTGTTCAATATTGAGTTGAATTTTTTTTAAGTTGTTAAATTAGTTTTAAATATATGTAAGTAAGAATGTAATGTTTTTACACAGAAATTCATAATGTTATAGACTAAATCAATTTTATTTAATTCTTTTTTTGTTTAACATCGTTTTCGGAGGCAAAAAATAAGTGTATGACTATAAAATTAATCTTCTCTTTATCAATGTCTCTTGTTTGAATATGCCACAGGGCAAATAGAGGAAGGAGGGGAAGAAGAAAATTTGACCTTTATGTACAATCTTAGGTAAGAAAAATAATAGGGTGGAGGGCCTTTGACAGTTAGTTGCTACAAGTAAAACATGTAAAGGAAAGAAAAAGTCCGCAAAATAAGTCCGCAGAAATAGCACCCTTATCTTCAGTAGTACCAAAATTTTTTGGAGAAACAATAGCAGAGGTATAAAATAATAAAAATATATTTATTAATTAGCTTATTTATTGTATTTTGTATTACTGATGCATTTGCAAAATACCAGCACCTAGACCACATCCAACACCTTTAGGTCCGAATTCTTTTGCATAGCAACCTGTAATAATTATGTCTATTTTTGAAATACTAAATTTTTATTTGATATTTTCTTTTATTTGGAAATATATGGATACAATTCGGTTATCTCCCTCATTTGATTTATCATCTTATTTTTTCCCTCTCCAAAAATGAAGGGTCATCATAGATCCTAATTAATAGATCCTAATTAATTTTTTCAAATTACTATTTTTTAGTAAAAAATGGAGAATAAGAAAAATGAAATGGTGGGAGATAACCGTATATTAACGAAATATGTTTGAACCTTTAAAGAAAATTATTGACTGTTTCGTATTGTTCCAAAAATATTGAATACCAGTCTCCTGTGTGCTTAACTTCAAAAAAATTCCCTACTATTGCAATAAATCTCTCCAGCTCTATCAGAAAATTTTCCAGGCTCCAAAGACCGTCCACAGCGTAAACAACGGAAACAACATTTATGCCAAACTTCACTTGCTGCCACAACCTTTTCTGCTTCATAAACACGACTAGTACATCTTTTACAATTTGAAGGTCGGAAGCAGACAATATTTGCCCCAATGTTGGCTCCATTCATTCCATTAGTTTTTCCATTAGGAGAAAAGAAAGATTCGTTTGAGGAAGCTATAACTTTCCAAGTTGAAGGACTATGAATGACTGACACTGATTTTGGGCTCTGAAAATTTAGTATTGTATTTAAAGTTACTTTAATATTTTTGTTAAGTCACTCTATTAGGTCTATTAGGTGTATCTAATTGAGTGATCAGTACCTAATTGAGTAATCAGGAAAATATGAATGTGAATATCTGTATTAAATAAACATGCCAGAGAATCAGAAAATTTTAAAGACTCGGAAGATCATGTGGGTAAGAAGCATAGTCCAGTTCAAATTTGGAAGCTATAATCAAGGATGGTTTATAGCTAAATCCAAAGGTGGTTTATAGTTATACAAAAGGCGGAAGTTATAACCATAGGTGGTATCTTTTTCAAACTTCTTTGAGGTAATGACAATGCTATAAATCACAATATGTATTACATGTCCTCATAATTAAAAATCTCACAATGAATTCTACTCCTAATAAGAGTTAATTAAAGAGGGGAATTAATTAAAAAGGCAATTACATAAACAAAAACACTCACAGGCAAGCTTTCTCTCTCATCATCAACCTCCAGAATTGGACTAGGCTCAAAAGGTCTTCTTAACGTATTCCTCTGTGGGGAAATCTCATTTAAATAATTTAATTTTCCATTTGAAATTTTTCTAATTTCTCCATTTTCCAAAATTAATTCATTCCCCTCTTCTCTTTTATCTTCCTCGTCAGTTTCTTCATCATATTCGTCATCATGTAATTGTAATGTTCGTAATTGATGTTCATAACTTTTTATTTTATTATTTGTAGATAATTCAACTCTAAATTTTTCTTTAGTGTTTCCATTAGTATTTCCATGTTTGTAAAAGCTGATGAAGCAATTTGGACAGAATATCTAAAGATATATTTCACTATATAATTATGTATCGAGAAATATTTTTATAAATTGTTATGTCCTCAGATGTGGTAATTGTTAGTATGTGTGGTCTAGTATAAAAGGTGGTATTTGAGATCATTCCTGTTCGGCACTTGTGCCAACAGACAAGCCTGTCTTTAGTTATGCTGCCTATTTCCACCCCCGGTTTTCGGTTTTGGTTTGGTTAACCGATTGTGTCCTACCCTACTGAAACCCTTTTACAGTGCCGGAAAAAATAGGACCAAGGCTGTTAAATTACCTAGTTTTTTCCACTTATCTTTTTTATTGGCATTTAGGAAAAAAGTTTCAACACAAAAATTTTAGGCCTTTAAGTGCTCTTTAAAATGAATATGAATATCATTATACAGAATTTCCGGAATTTTTGCATTTCCGACAGATCCTGATAAAAAACCATTTTTAAAATATGCACTTTTATTTAAATTGTTATTAATTGCTTAAATAAATTAGTTCAAAAAATATTTGTTAAGTATGCACTTGCCATTGAATAAGTATTTATTTAAAAATATAAAAGGGTTGTTTTAGAGTTCTTATATTTCTGTTATTAATTAAGAAATAATTCTGCACTATAGCTCTCTATCTACCATTTTATAACTCCGCAACGCAATATTATCTGTCTGAATCAAATAAATAAGCTATTTCATAAGGTTTAAAAAGACAATTTTTATTTTTTATGTCAAAAATTTTATTATATTGTAAATTTAATTTGTCGAGTTGTTTTATTATAATATTTCTCTTTTAATTTGTATGAATTTATTTTAGAAGAATAAAAATAGGCTTTGAATTTATTTTAAATAAAATTTATTTTTGTTTATTTAAAAAAATTAATTTTAAATTTAAAATTAAATTCGAATGAAACTTGTTAGTATTTTAATATTTTTAATCTTCAATTCAATATTATGGAGTTTAATTAATTCTGTTAAAAATAATGAAAATATAAATAGAGTTAAAGAACTCTCAAAGGATTTAAATAAAATATTAAATGATGGGGCTGAATCATCGGTTGCTCCTCAACTTCAAAAATATAAAGAAACGGTAGTGCGAAACTTGCGGACCGACTTTTGCGGACCAGTGGTTTAAATTTTTGTTTTTCTATCGTAACTTTGTCCAAGCTTGTACAATCACAATGATTTTGATGTCATTCGACTCATCTCGTCGAGCTCTTTCGAATGAGCTATGTTTCGAGAAATTCGTCGGGTCCGCAAGTTTTTGTCCGCAAAAGTCGGTCCGCAAGTTTCGGCCAGCCAAAGAAACGTTAAAACCAAAAATTACAAAAAGTGAAAAAGCTTCAAATTATAAAAAAAGAGAAAGGCCAGATAGGAAAGAATATCAAAAAGAATATTTCCAGAAGAATAAAAATAGGCTTATTCAAAATAAATGTGATTATAATAAAAAGAATAAGGAAAAGATGAGAGAATATGATCGCGAATATAAAAGAATATACCGACTAAGAAAGAGTAAAGAAAAAGAAATTCTAAAAAGTGAAATTCCACAATTAACAAGGATTCAGTCTGTTAATAATGAAGGAACTTCTTTTGCAAATCCACCTAATAATGAAAGTAAAAATAAAGGAAAGGATCCGATTGTTTCCGAAGAGGACGTTCAGATAGATCAACGAAATATTCAGCCACAAAAAGATACTCCTTCCCAATCTACTAATAATAAGGAAGGAATTTCATTTGTTAATTTACAGACTAATGATAATACAAATAATTTAGATGACACAATTTATGACATTTCTAAACAAGAAAAATCTCAAATCGAAAATAATTCTATTCAAAGAGAAGATCTGGAAAATTTGCCTAATTTGAGTCTTTTGGAAGATTCAAATTTTTGGGACGATCCGAATTTTTAAAGATAAATGGATTTTTAAAATAGCAATCTATTATAAGAAACTATTATATATTGTCAACAAAAAAATATTTCTTTAATTCTTTATTAGATTATTTTAGTCTTTACTTGTTTTAATTAAAAATTAACAGATACTTTTATCTTTATAATGGAAGCCGGAGGCATCCCACAATATATTTAATTATTAGAAATTTTAGACACATTAGGAGACAAAAATTTTCCGACTGTGGCGTTAATAAAAATATTCATTACTTCGAGTACTGGCCGGTCAAGTTATCTTTACTTGTTTCAATTAAAAATTGTGATAAAATAAGCGAGCATGGTAAAAACTAGGAAACTCGGCAGAAAGTATCATCCCTCCATAACTCTGCACGTTTTAATTAAATTAAATATTTGGAAATTTATTATACCCACACCTATCTTTTCTCATGTTTCCCTTTCATAATGCGCCTTTAAAAATTTGATAAGCGCAGTGAAAAAAGAGAGAGATGTGTTTGAATAAAATGTTAAGATAGTGTTAAATAGATATCAGCATAGTTATAGTATTTACTTCAATTTGGCCGGATCGACTATGTTTTAATATATTTACTGATGTGTCTAAAAAATGTGATTAGTAAATCAAAATAAATACTCTGGGTTCCCCCATAAGCAAAAAATACAATTGTTAATTACTACAACTTTTTCGCGACATCTGTCAAGAATGGGCAGTACAAATACAAACTAACAATAGACTAGGATGTCTTAGCATAGTTATAGGTATTTTCAGTTTAGGCTAAGCAGTTGGAGCGAAGTGCAGGAAATATAATAATAATATAATAAAAAAATTTGCCCGTTATCCCTTGAACAAGAAAACATACATATAATAAAATATTTAATTGTTATTAGTAAAATTAAAAAATGTTTACAAATTGTTTTGCGCTTATATTAATTTTGGACGCATATACTTGAATTGAAGCTTATATCAATTTAGGGACGCATATACTCCCATGGGACGCTGTCCTAAGATGAGCCCTTTTTTATCTACATTAAAAATCAAAATCATCAATGAATTTCAAATCTTCGAAATAATTCAAATCTTCCAAATCATTCAAATCATCCTCTCGTTGAATATTATGCCCAATATTTATTTGATTGAACGTTTTTTGATCTAACTGCTCATCCTTTCTAGAAAGTATCGGCTCTTTTCCCTTATTTTCACAAATATTAATCTGTGCATTATCAGCAGAATTTCCTTCTTTACTATCAGATTGAATTGAAGAATTTTTTTGTAGAATTTCTTTTTCATTTTTCTTCCTTAGATAGTAATTTCGCAAATATTCTCGCTTTTTTTCGTCATAACATTTATCTTTATTATTTTCATAATAATTTTTCCGTTTTTCTCTTATTTTCTCCTTATTCTTCTCATAATATTTCTTAGATTTTTCAATCAGAATTTCTTTACTATTTTTATAAACATTCTGCCTCTGTTCACGTATTTTTTCTCTATTAATTTTATAGTAATTTCTGTTATATTCTTTCTTCTTCAACTTTATTTCCGTTAAATTATTCCTCTCAGTTTTTGCAATTTTGGATTTTGGTTTTAAAGATGGGTCATATTTTTGAATTAGAGGATAGGTCGATGATCCGGCCACATTCTCCTCAACTCCCTTTAACTCACTTTGATTTTTATTATTTTTAACAGAATTAATTAAACTCCATAATATCGAATTGAAAATTAAAAAGATTAATACACTTTCAAGTTTCATTCTAAATCAATTACTAAAAGATTATTAAATAATTAATTTTATATTAATTAAAAATTGAAAGTTTTAAATTTAAATTTCCATTTTTGGTAATTTAAAATTCATGGTGAAAATTCTTGTGAATTTCTCTACGAGGTAGTGAAGGGTAATTCTTCTTGGTCTATATCTCGGTCCAAATTTAAGACCGGGGGTTGATTTTGATGTCATCCGACACAGCTCGACGAGTTCTATAAAATAAGACTGACAGACCATTTTTTAATACTTTGAGGAAGGAAAAAGGGGGGGGGGGATACGAACCCAAGAATTAGTGAAGTTCAAAAAATCATAACTTTATGAATATTACCAATATATAGCTGAACGAGGTATTAAAATGAAGAGTAGATTCAAATCTTTATGTTAGTTAATAAGAAAAAAGAATATTTGTAAAATATCACTCATAAAAATTTAACCGAAAAAAGCGACACTAATTATGACTAGACCTAATAAATTACATAATAAGTTTCATTCAAAATTAATTATAGAAAATAAAAAAATAATTTTCTTTTCTAATTAATTAAGGATTATAAATGGCAAAAGGGGTAAGAATTTAAAAAAAAATAAATCCTTTTTTATATTTCACGACTTGATGTAATATTATTTTTTTATTTAATAGTTATAGGTATAATAAATTATATATGTACATAGACAGGATATTAATTATTTAACTCCTGATAAATTAAGAAATCCTAAAGTGCATATGCCCTTTCTATTTTAAAAATTGTTTATTTATTTGAGGAAGACAAATACAACTTTAAGCGGATGTGGTTAGGGTAAAGCCCGAAATGTCGCGCGGCCATAATGTCGCCAAGTCATAACTTGCTAAAAAATTTCTGGCCCTTATTAATTTTGGTACCAATCTCTTTAGCTCGATGAGAGGAATCGTTCAATAATAAATTTGGAAAGATTCGGAAATCTTAAAGCAAGTTATGGCTCGGCGACATTATGGCCGCGCGACATTTCGGGCGTGTCCCTGTGGTTAGTACTAGAGTTGGACAAAACGATACTGGTATCGGCCAACCCGAGATCGATATTGACCGATACTCAAGAACCCGATACCGAGATCGATACCATCATTTTGAGCCGAGACCGATACCGAGAAACGATACTGACCGAGACTAACAGAAATTTTTATTTTAGGTCAAAAAATACGTGTAAAAATAATTTATTCATTATTATTATAATAATATATTTATTATTATTCAGCGCCTGCGGCGCTGAAAAACGAGGGAGGTATCTAATTTTTCGTGGAGGTATCAACCCGACAAGTAATGTCATTAAAGTTAGAGAGATTAGAATTAATTAAAATATATTCGGGGGATATACAAGATCTAGAGTGCAAAGAAGGCTACCGATGGAATAAGAGAAACATCTAGCACTAAAAGTATTGGAGGTTTTACTAACATCTACATTTAAACCGCGGAAATAACTTTTACATACTTGTTTTTTAAATTAATAAAATCAAGGGAAGAATATTAATTTGAATTAAGAATTTTTTGAAACAATAACTAGCTGTTTTTTGTTTTTATAATATTTAATGTAATTCATCTACATATGTACAAGTTTCTTCAAGTTCCACAAAGAAAATTTAAAAACAATTTTTGAGTTAATAAATATGTAATAAAATACAAGAAAAAATTAGGTAACAGTGATCAGAATTTCGTAAAGTACTGTCTTCCGAACCGTAATACCGTATACCGTATTTTCTCGATTAATTCCCCTCCCTCGAATAATTCCCTCTCTCGATTAATTCCCCATGCTAGAGTCGGGTTGAAACAATAATTCCCCACCAGGGCTGGGCTTATTTCGCACATTCGCGTTTCGCATCTTTCGCATTCTCGCATTTTTTGGCGCGAAAAATTTCACATTTCGCATTTCGCTTTTTATTTTTCATTACGCCCAGCCCTGCTCCCCACCCAAATATACCTACTGAGCGTTCAAATGCCTAAACTCGAATAATTCCCCTCTCGATTAATTCACCATGCCAAGGAAGGGCTGAAAAATTAATTCCACGTGGGAATTAATCGAGAAAATACGGTAATACCGATGCTGATACAATTCAAAATTTTACTGTATCGTTTTCCGTATCGTCTTTCCGATTGTAATGCAGTAGTACATTACGGTCCGATCACTGTTGACAAGAACGAGAATATTTAGTACTTAGATTTTTTATAAAAGTAGGAATTAAAATATTTACATTATTGAAAGTTATGTGTTTTATATGTTTACGATTAAAAACAGATCATCTATTTGTTGATCTGGGAAATTTTATTATAATCAGAAATTCTGATTATCTAAAAAATTTAGGTAATTCAAAAATCGTAGATAATCCAAATCATTCATTTCATTTTGTGGTTGAATAAGGCTGCCTTCTTCCACCTGATTACTAATTTCTTGCTCTAACTGAACGTTTTCATTGCAAACATGCGGCTGTTTTCCTTTATTTTCACAGTCGTGATTCTGTTGATTATTAAATGATTCCTCATTATCAGTTTGAATGTTCCCTAATTTTGAACTTTGTACACAGTCATTCATCTGTAAATTAACAAATAAATTTCCCTCTTCATTATGAGGCGGTTGAGTTGGAGTAGCATTTTGAAAATGAATGTTTGCTTGATCTAACTGAACATTCTCAATGCTTACAATCGGTTCTTTTCCTTTGTTTTCACAAATATTATTCTGTGGATTAACAAAAGAAGTTCCTTCATCCCTATCGTCTCGAACGTTTCTAGATTTTGAACTATCATTTTTTAAAATTTCCTTTTCATTTTTCCTTTTTAGATAGTATTTTCGATTATATTCTCGATTCTTTTCTTTATTAGCTTCTTGATATTTTCGTCTATATTCTCGTTTCTTCTCTTTGTTGATTTTCTTGTAATTTTGAAAATAATTTTTATTATATTCTTTTATCTGTTCTTTATGTTTCTGATAGTATTCTTTATGCTTTTTATCCACCAGTTCTTTATTCTTCTTGTAGTAATTTTTATTTTGCTCTTTACACTTTAACTTTTTGTTATCATTAATATTTACTGTTGTGCCCTCTTTATGAATTTTAATTTTAGGTTTTAAAGTTTCTTTATATTTTTCACTTTGAGGTTTAGCCGATGATTCAGCCCCATCATTCAATATTTTATTTAAATCCTTTGAACTTTCTTCAACTCTAATCAAATCGTTTTGATTTTTATTATTTTTAACAGAATTAATTAAACTCCATAGTGTCGAATTGCAGATTAAAACGATTAAAATACTAATAAGTCTCATTTAAAATTAATTTAATAATTTAATAAATATTAATTTTATTTACTAATTAAGAAAGACTATGAGTGACATAAAATGAATAAAAATTTTTTGTTTATTCATTATGTAATTCGATGTATTTATTTGCCTATAAACGATAATAGACAAGCGCCCGACAAATTAAGAAATCTTAAAGTACATTTGCCCTTTAAAAATATTTATGGGATGTTTAGTAATTTAATAAAAAATATTTTTAAAATCGGCATAAAAGGGTTGTTACCGTTCCCATTAACCACGGTAAAATGGCACGCGGATATATCGGAACGGGAATATCGGGATATTTCAGTGTACGAACAGTATCCCTACTGATTTCGGGACCTACGGCTACTGGGTCTTGAATAGTATATTGTCTATTGAGGAATAGTGTTTTTATGTTTTAGAAGTAAACACGCAAGAAATTATTTTTGTCACACCAAATCCGATTTGTCTGTCCCGATATGCCCGCACACCGGGAAAATATTGAAAATTTTATTAAACATTTAATATAATAAAATTATTGTTACAATACGGAAATAATGAGAGAAATGAGTATTAATTGAAGATGAGTATTAAATAGGGCTGGACACAACGGTTAAGCTAAGCAGAACCGAAAACCATGGGTACAGCTTAATAACCGGCTGTGCAGAGTTACGTCGAAATGAAAATTTTTTTCGTAATCGTAATTTTTTCGTAATCGTTTTCGTAATAAAAAGTTCGTAATAGTAATTCGTAATTCAAAAAATGCCGTAATTCGTATTTGTAATAGTAATTCGTAATTTGTAAAAAATATTTACGTTAATTTAAAAAATCAAAATTAATAATTGATTCTGCTCCCATTAAATCCAATCAAGTCCTATTATTTCTCTGATATTACTTCAAATCCCAATTAATTCCCTAATATCACTCTTAATCCCCTTAATCCTCCGATACCTCTTCAATCAATCATCCCAGATTAAGTGTTTGATATCTGTGATATATCTCTCACTGAATAAATTACTCCCCTAGTGAGAGACTAAAATAACAAGACTAAAAAAAGAGACTAAAAAAAAAAAATAACAAAAATAACAAATTAATTAAAACTAGTATGGGTTTAAATTTGTTTTTCAGAGTTAAATTTAACAAATTCCTGACCTGCCCCTGGTGCACGCCATATTCTTCCAACTGAAGCAATTTTCCACATTGACGTTTACCTATTAATTGTACGATAATTTTTACATGAATTAAATTAGAAAGTTACTACGACCTTAGTAAGACGAAAAGTAATTTTATATCGAAAAACTAAATTAAAATTTATGTACAACTTTTGAATAACGTTACTTTACAAGTCTTTCTATCAGGGTGGGCCGATTGAGAAAAATCGGGTCTATTTTGAGTGGCAAGGCTTAACATGATTTATAGTAAATAAAATTTTCACATAAAAATACTTTGTCAAAGAATTATTTATATGGAATAATATTCTAATTTTGATTATGTTAAGCAAGATTAAAAACAAGAAAAAAACTTACTGCAGCAAAAACATTTTCTATGAAACAATCGTTTGCTAGCAGTTGAAATAGGTTCTTGTTCTAATGAAGAAATGGGTTCAGAACATTTATCACATAAAGGAGGTGACATTTTTAATGATTAGAATTTGTTTGGAATATTTTGAAAGAATTGCGGGAATTTTTGAGAAAAGAGAAAAAATGTTTTTGGGGGACAAACCGATGGAGAATGACCCAAATATATTAAACATTATTATTCAAATTGTTTGCGACAACAAATAAATATTTAATATTCGCCTCGGATGACTGCATAAGGAAAAGATAAGCAGCGGAAACAAATGGGGATTAAAGCATATTATTTTATTTTATGCTCATGAAAGTCCGCAAGATTTATTCGCAAAATCATCTATTTATGTGATCAAGAAAGGAGAGAAGAAAATTATTTTGTAGGGAGAATCAAACACTTTTTTAAGCTGTTGACTTATTCAATTTTACAAATAAATAAATTTAGGGATAAATGTAAGTTTATTAAAATAATCCAAATTTTAATCCGAATATTTTCCAATATTTTCCATTCAATACAAAGGGTCAACCATAAAAATGGTGCTATACACAAGATGACGATATATCGGGGTTTCGATTAGAGGTCGGCGCGGGATGGGATCCCGACGGGATTTTCCGGATTCGATCCCGAAATTCCGGATTTTTTTGATTTTCGGGATCATCCGGGATTTTTTTCTGATTTATCCCTCGGGATCCCGTCTCGGCCTCGGATAAGTAATAAAATCCCGACTCGGGATCCCGGAAGTGCGATTTTGCCGACCTCTAGTTTCGATACACAGAGGAGGACTTCTTTTTTAATTTTTTTACCTTCGGAACTTGCTAGTTTTCGATGACAAACTTTTGAAAAATAATGACCAAAAAATTTAATCTACCTAAACCGAATTTGTCCCAATATTTTTCAATTTTAGACTACCATAAATTTAAACATAATTTATTTACAGTTTGTTTCGTTGGACAGCTTGAATATAAAAATTAGTTTTTAAAAAAATTTTATAAACCAAATAAATTTACAAATTGAAAATTACTCAAGTCCCACCCCAATAAATAAATAATAAGCTTTTCATAAAATTTTCATCCCATTTGTTGTCCGGGCTGTGGAGCATTAGAATAACCAATTAATCCTAGGACGGGATGCATAATCGGAAACCGATCCCCTTGCATTGCTGCCAATACTGTGCCCATTGCTGGCGCCATTCTTGGAGGTGATTGATGTCCGGTAGGCAATCCTGATTGCTGAAAGAGAAGATAATAATGAATTTAGAGAAACTTTTAATGAGTTATTTTAACTTAGCGAAAATACCCCATGAATTTTCAAATAATATATTTAATTATTATATGTAGTTAATTAATTTTAAATTTAATTTTTCCTCAAATAAAATTTTTAACAAAATTTTACGTCTCGACGCATTGGAGAGTGTGGGTTGTAATGAGCTTGAGAACCATCTGATTGTTGTCCAAATGTTGTACGCCCTGCAGAAGAACTAGCAGAAACAGAAGGTGCAGCAAAAGCGACAGCTCTACCAGAGGAGTCTCCAAATGTTGGAGATGCAGCTGTAGTAACTCCAAACATGGGCGGAAGAGTAGGGAAGGAGTGGGGAGGGAATGTATGTGGGGGAAGTGTTGGGAAGGAGTGAGTTGGAAGGCTTGGGAAGGTATGAGGTGGAAGTGTGGGGAAAGAATGGGTAGGGAAAGTGTGGGGAGGAAGTGTGGGGAATGAATGAGTCGGGAAGGTATGGGGAGGTAAAGTTGGGAATGAATGTTTTAACATTGGAGAGAAAGTATGTGGAGGTAAAGTGGGGAAAGAATGAGTGGGCATTGACATAAGTCCAAACAACGGAGCTGGTGTTGAAGCCAATTGAGTGACAGAATCATTTGGAATTTGAGGAAAACTGCCTCCAGCACCGCTTGTTTGCTGAAATTGTTGTGGGAATTGTTGACCATCTTGAGGCTAAAATTTGGGATATTAAAATATAATTTATTAAAAATATCAATGTTAATCATTAAGTCTGATGATACCCTTGTAAGAAAGTTTGATAATGCTCTTGTTTGGAATTATAAAAATAATTGTACTACTGCCTTTTTATGCCGGGGAACTTGGAACAACGCGTCGCTGGTCCTATCATCATACAAGAATTTTTTCTTCGACAACAATCCTTCGCCCACAAATTTTTAAACTTGTTACAGCCCAACAAAGTGAATAGAAAATAAAATTTTTATCATTAATTAAACAAATTAGAAGTGGAAAGTGATTTACTTAAATAATGAGTAAAGAAAGAAGAACACATTTTATGTTATTAAATTTGGTGATCTGAAAATTTCACTTCAGAATAAGAAATTCTGACTATCCAAAAAATTTAGAGCATTCAAAAACTTAAGATATTCTAAATCATTCATTTCGCAATTTATTGGAATCGGATGTCCATCATCTAATTGTTGGACATTTTCTTGTTCGGAATTGTGTAAACTATTTAATACACCCTCATCCATCTGTTGATTAGCGAATGAATTTCCTTCAGTATTATCATTTCCTTCCTTATTATTTACCTGAACATTCTCGTTACTTTCAATTGGCGATTTACCTTTATTCATATAATTATCATTCTGTGAATTTTCTTTTTCGTTCTGTGAACTAACAAAAGAAGTTCCTTCATTATTATCAGGTTGAATCTTTCCTAATTCTGACCTATCCTTTTGCAGGATTTCTCGTTCATTTTTCTTCTTTAGATAGTATTTTCGTTTATATTCGCGAATCTTTTCTTTATTATCTTGATTGTATTTTAGTACTCTTTGAACCATTCTATCTCTATTCTTTTGATAGCAATCTTTATTGTATTTAAGCTTCTTTTCTTTATTATTTTGGTAGTGTTTTGCTACAAATTTTCGACTTTTCTCTTTATGTTTTGGAGAGTTCCTCTTTTCTTTTAATTTATCTTTGTTCGTTAGTTTATAATTTCGATTATAATCTAGTATCTCCTTTTTATGTTGCTGATAGTAACCCTTATTATATTCTTTTTGCTTTAAATTCGTTTCTTCTTCATTATTTTCAGTTTTGTGCTTTTTTGTAATTTTGGAAGTTGGTTTCAGAGTTTCTCTATATTTTTCAATTTGAGGAGCAATCGATGATTCAGCCTCATTATTAAATATTTTATTTAAATCCTTTGAAGTTTCCTCAACTCTAGCTAACTCGTCTTGATTTTTATTATTTTTTACAGAATTAATTAAACTACATAATATCGAATTAAAAATTTAAAAAATTAAAATACAATCAAGTTTCATCATAAATTAATTTAAAGGATTTATTTTAAAAAATTAATTTTAAGAATTAAACTAAAATAATAAATTTAATTTATTTAAAATAAAGTCTAGATTAAATATGTATGTAATAAATACAAGTAAATATTTATTTGATGTCGAAATATTTTTACATAATTAATCCCATACAATTTAATATATGTAAAACTATTCTATAAAGCGGTTTGAGAAGAAAGTGCATTTCCCAAAAATTTTACTTTTGAATTAAAAAATATAATTTTGAAAAAGCTTTATTTCATTTGATAAGAGAAAAATATATTTAGATTTACATAGTTATAAAGGTCAATAATGAAATATTTTCAATAAGGACAATCTGATGAAATTTATTTTATTGAAATATATTTTTTTTCTTTAATTTGATTTATTTATCAGATATTGAAAGAAAAATTTTAAAATCTTTGACTAAAGAGAATTAATATTCATGGAAATGAAAGTACATTTCCGACAAATATTTTTTTTGAATAAAGCAAATTAAATGAAGAATAATGAATTTAAATAAGAGCTTGGCAGAAAATGATTTTAATTTTATGATAACGAAGCTTTTACTCTTCCAAGAGTCAACCCCTTAAAGATTTGCTTTATTAGATCAACTAAGATACATTATTTTTGAAATATATCTAGCCCCATAATACATACATTAAATCTAAAGTTGGTGCTATTTTAAAGAGGCTCTCCAATTACAGCAATCCATGAATATTCATTCCCTTTAGTCAAAAATTCTAAAATTTACTTTCAATATTTGATAAATAAATCAAGTTAAAGAAAGAAAAAAAATATTTAAATAAAAAGGCAATAGAAAATGGATTTCATCAGATTAAAAAATTATTAGGAAATGCACTTTCCTCTCTTAGAATAAGTGTATATTAAAATGTCTGGGATTAATTGAAAATATTTCGTCATTAAATAATAATTTACTTGTATTACATATTTTAACTATATTTTCTTTTACATAAAGTCAAATTAAATTTATTATTTTAGGTTAATTCTTTAAATTAATTTTTAAAAATTAATAAAAATATTAATTTAGAATGAAATTTATTAATGTTTTAATCTTTTTAATTTTCAATTCAATATTATGGATTTTAATTAATTCTGTTAAAAATAATAAAAATCAAAACGAGTTAACTAGAGTTGAGGAACCATCAAAGGATTTAAATAAAATATTAAATGATGGGGCTGAATCATCGGTTGTTCCCCAGATTGAAAAATTTAGAGAAACTTTAAAGATAAATACCAAAATTACAAAAAAGCACAGAACTGAAAATAATGAAGAAGAAACGAAGTTAAAGAAAAATGAATATAATAAGGGTTACTATCAGCAACACAAAAAGGAGAAACAAGATTATAATCGAAATTATAAACTAACGAACAAAGATAAATTAACTGAAAAGAAGAACTTGCCAAAACAAAAAGAGATAAGTCGAAAGTATGATCGAAATTACTATCAAAATAATAAAGAAAAGAAGCTACAATATAGTAAAGATTACTATCTGATGAATAGAGATAGAGTGGTTCAAAATAAACGAAAATACCAACAAAATAATAAAGTAAAGACTCGCGAATATAAACGAAAATACTATCTAAAGAAGAAAAAGGAACGAGAAATCCTACAAAAGGATATGTCAGAATTAGTAGACATTCAACCTGATAATAATGAAGAAACTTCTTTTGATACTACACGACGAAACGATGATTTTATTAGAAAGGAAGCTACAGGAAATAATGAGGATGGACAGAACTTAGCAAAAAAAGAATATAATAAAAATTATAATTTAAAAAGAAAAAGTGAAAAAGAACAGAATGATAATTATACTATTAATAAAGGTAAATCGCCGATTGAATGTAACGAGAATGTTCAGGTAAATAATAAGGAAGGAAATGATAATACTGAAGGAACTTCATCTATTAATCCACAGAAGGATGAGGGTGTACTAAATAATTTACAAAATCCAGAACAAGGAAATGTTCAATTAGATACTGAAGAAACTTCATCTATTAATCCAAAGACGAATGATTGTGTAAATAATTTAACTGGACAACCAAATGTTCAATCAGCTGATGGCCTTCATACTCAACAATTGGAGGATCATGATGATTTAATTGATTTGAGTTTAATGAATGATTCGAATTTTTTAGATTATCTAAATTCTATTCTTAATTCCTGAAGACATTTCAGATAAACAATTGGATTAATTTTAAATAAGAAAACACAAAGAATATATCTTCCCGTTCTCTATATTTGATCTTTTCTTTAAATAATTATAGCTGTATGGAACTATTCTTCAAACAAAATGATGTACAGATACTTTTTCATATTTATTTTTCTTAATTTAATTTTCCGAAATTTTTGTACGAATTTATACGAAAAAAATTTAAATTCTTTTCTTTAATTTCTGAAATATTTTTATTTCAAAAACATCATTCTTTTTTTTCTATTAAGGGCTGAATTGATTGTTTTAAGGGCTGAATGATTGTCGAATAAATTTGCAAGATTAATTTTTGAGATTATTAGGTATTATCTAACTCATGTTTGGTATGAGAGTATATCTCTTGTAAAGTGCTGCATTCGCTTAATCAAATAAACAATTTTTATTTTCACATGAAAAATAAAGTTGACCTTTTTCTAAATAAAAGGTCTCCCGACGTTATCATCCAATTTTCGTTCCTTATCTTAATTTTGTTATTCATTTTTTGTTTATATCTTGACCATTAATTTGTCTCTATGAATACCCAACCTTCTTCTCATTATCAGATTTGGCCTAACCATTTCTCTCCCTTATTAATGTATCCCATATTTATATGGAGAATAAATAAATTGAATAGAATAAAGAAATATTTAAATATGTAGTCCAGCTAATAGAAGCCCCCAGAATAGTAGAACCCGAGTAAAGCTATATAAATTCAAATATAGTATAAGGGAAGCGAATTCTTCTAGAAACGGAGTTTCTACTTGCAAAGCTAGCTTTTATTTAATTTCTTTAGGTTGAAATTTTTTGATAAAATTTTTAAATTTTGTTTGCATAAATAGAACATAATTAATTAATTTTAGTGTCTGCGCAATTTTAAGTTATTTTTAACATGCCGATATCACTTTCAGGGTTGCCGCCCGAAACCCGATACCCGGCCTTTTTTGTACCCGAAACTCGATACCCGAAAAGAAATTTTCCCACCCGAAACCCCGATACTCGAAACCCGTACCCGAAGATTTTTTGTACCCGCGGCAACCCTGATACCTATAGCAATTTTGTAATTTCACACAAATATTTTCAGCCCTAATAATTATATTAATGTCCTACTTGAAATACTTGTTCTCCTACTCTTTGACCTTCCGAAACATATTGAGAAGGAAATTGTTGAGAAGGAGGGAATTGTTGTTGCTGTTGCTGAAATCCTTGTTGTTCAACAAATTGTTGTTGATTATTCAAATTTTGAAATTGTTGTTGAGACGGAGGTAATTCCTCAATATTATTCCCCAAATTTTGACCAATAAATTGTTGTAAATTTCGAGAAGATGGAGCCATTATGCGAGGATGGACGTTGTTTGGGGCTAAAAACTTCCTATCTTCCCCTCCATTTATTTCTGGCAATTTCTCAATTTTTTGTTTTTGTTTTTCGTTTTTAAATTTTGGA